CATATCAAAGATATTTACAGGAAACTTATAGACATAAATAAATACCTCGACTACATACCCTATTTATAGAGTTTCTAAATTTCCCCAAGCCTGATTTGAAAAATACTAAGTCTGGTTGAAGAATTCATGTGTTAACATCTAACTCAATGCGTTATTTTCTGTATTGCATTCTACTTTACCTTGAGTACAGAGGATTGCTTTACGACTGTCAGATGGATACTTCCACATTATTGTGATCTGTCACTTTCATTCATCAGTTACAATACATTTAGTTTGTTTTTAAGCACTGAAAGGCACAAACAATGAACTTGAACAATATTTGGAGTGTGGGTTTTGAAAAACACTGAACAACAATACCCCTTGCTAATGTGAACTGAACAACAATACCCCTTGTTAATGTGAAGTCCAATACACGAAGAAACAACAATATCAACAAGAGGTAGAATTCTGAAATATAATAGACATTCAAGACTCTCCAATAGTCCATCACGCTACACAAGAAGTCCATGCAACAAAATTGACATAAATAATGGGTTATGAACCACTCACGAGAAAAAAGAAAGATAAAGGAAGCCTTTTACACCAATCTAACTGATAACACACATTTTCAACCAAGTATAGAAGTCACCAAAACCTAGATACTCCAAATACTCAATTGATTAAGTTCTAGTATATGGTAGACCCTGGACAAAAGTGTTGTACACTAGCGTTTCATTCAAGACTACCAAGGACTGAATCCACGATACTACTACCATAAAACACAGGTCTTCTCAGGACTTTTCTGAAGACAGTAGCAGAGCAGCAACCGAAACGTAAGATATGAACTAGTTAATAATTGAGTAATAGTAAAAATGATAAAAAAAAAGTAACCAATAGATTTAAATGATCGTATAAACTATTAATCACGATAACAATATTTTAATTTAACTGTTTCTATGGCACTTAATTACTCTGGTATTTTGCTAGGTTTATGATTTTAAAATAAAAATAAATTGAAAAGTAGTTAAACGGTAAAAAGAAAACTTAATAATTTGGTTTTAGTTGTCTTTATAAACACACTTCTTTAAATCTGAACTGGTAGTTCAGAAGGAAAGCAGCTAGTTAACAGCACCAATTACTAACTCTTAGGCTACTCTTGCCTGGGATTTATCAGTCACTATTAAAGTGTAGAGAGTAAGTCGCGAATCTCCAGATTCAGTGTTCGGGTATGCCTAACCAAAGGCCACTCCGACCCAAAGCACAACAATATGGATCTAGACATTACTATAAACTATTTAAAAAATACGGATATATATACACACCCTGACATTATAGCTTCCAAACTATAGAGGTATAAATACAAAGATATATATTCTAGTAAAAACACAAACAAAAATGAAAAACACCACAACAAAGTATCTTGAGGTAATATCCACCGTTTTTCAGTCCAAATTTTAATGTCTAGAATAATTAATAAAAAATACAGAATAAAGTCCACGTGCTTGTAAAAATTATCCATAGATGAACAAAAGAAAACAAAGCAGAAGAAAAGATAGAAAAAGCACACAAAATAGTACTTGCACGCGAAACAACAACAAACAAACAGACTAATATAATTGAGATCATTCATGGTTTTAATAGTAAAAGTAAAGAGATCATTGTTGCTTTTATGCAGTGTTGTAGAAGAGCGCTACTTTTCTTCAAGTCCACGTGTTCTTTAATGAGGGCACTCTCATTTCCGTTAATTTTATTCATGTATGTTTGTAATTCCTGAGGAAAGCTGGAAGCTATTACTCAGAGAAATATCCAATTATATTGTTTCTGGCTATTTCTTTATCAGTATTTATATCCTTTTAATTATAAAATCTTAAAGCTCTCCTTTCTTTACAACAGTGAAATTTTTAGTAACAATAATAGTTGAGTTGCTAAGTGACTATAAAGTTTTTTTGCTTTGTTCTAATCTATCAGAGTTCAATGGGTTTCTGCTAGACAGCATTATTTTTTTTCACCACAGTTATTACGGTCTTCAAATGGAAAAAAAACTTGTCGTGCATAATGTGTCCCTCCCTGTTCAAATTTCTAACAAATGGAAAAAAATGTTTAATGGAAAGCGACTGAAGGCAATGCAGGTAGAATATACCTGAGATATTTTTATAGTAGTAATAATAAAATTGCAAATTATTAGACGACAATATTGACAAGTTTAAACCGGTTCAATGATTTTAAAATGTATGTTTAGAACATAATGCACTATTTCAGTCATAAGCACAAGGTCTTCGTTAACAGGGATGGTTTGGCTAGCCAGTCTTTGTTAACGAATATCTTAGCGCACATAAGTCAGTTGTCTGTTGCTTGTTCTAGCTTCTTGTTATTTTAAGGAACCCCAAACGACTCTGGGTCACGAGAGAAGATGACACATTGTGGCACAAGCTGAAATAAGCTAAATCTAAGGTGTAAGAAGGTGACATAGAGCGTTATAAACTAAAAACAAACTATATTCAGGGTGGCACAGAATGATACAATGCGTTAAAGCTAGTGTGACACAATCTAAATTTACGATAGGAAAAAGTGATGGTCGAGAACAGATACAACATGTCTGTCTGTCTATATTTTATCCATTTCTTGATCAGCTTCACTTGCTCGCAAGCACGTTATCCATTGACGGTTATGTGAGGTGTATGGATAGATGGTATATCCCAACAGTTATGGTTCTGTGACTTGGGAATTGCAGGTGCAATATTTTAATGTTTTATCATTTATAATTTTTTTTTTTTTTACATTTGTCTTTGACTTAATATTGTTAAATTTGTTAATAATGCTACTTCGTATGTTAAAATACATATTGTTGCGTCAGCGAGGTCACGTGACTAGTATCACGCCACTTCTGTCTCGAACCTTCCTGAGATTAC